TGAATTTAAAAATGGTTCAAATGTCCATTTATTTGTTACATATATATTACCATAATTAAAGAGAAAATAAAAAGAATGTGGGGACTAGAGTCAGATTGACCTAGATTAACATCCTGGCTCTGGTACTGAGTGTCATGCTCTTAACCTCATTTTCCCCAGAAGCCCTCTGGTTTTTCTCACGTGATTTTACACAGCACAGTGATATTCAGGAACGCTTATGTCACATTACAGCAGAACGGTGTTACATAAGGGCTTAGCACAGTGCCTGGCACATGCTAAGCATTCAAGTGATTTTTACTTATTAACAGTAAAACAAAATTACTTACATATCCAATAAAGTTAGGATCGGGTACCTGTAAAGCACTTAAATAGAAGCAAAGGCTTTAAGAATGAAAGATGGTATTAAAAAAACCTGTAAATATGTATGACTACAACACCACATTAAAAAATTATCATAATATCTATAAAGTCTCAAGGGAAATACATTCAAATGTGAACAGCAATTGATGGAGGCACAGGGTGATGTTTTCATTTTTTTAAATAATATTTTATTGTGTTTTTTGTGAAAATGTACATAGCAGATTAGGTTCTCATTTAACTATTTTTATACATATTGTTCAGTGCTACTGGTTACATTCTTCACAATGTGTCAGCATTCTCATTATTTCCGTTTTGCTTGCTCTGTTTCCATTAATCTAGCTTCCCTGCTCAGCGGCATCACTAGGGTTGGTGTCACCCAGTGTGGTAACTCAGATCATCACCCTCCCCCCATGGGCCTCCTCTTGTACCAGACCATACAGAATCCTTAGTAATGTTTTTTGTACTGTTACTTGTAAATCATAATTCTCGTATATCACTCCTTCTTTTCCTTCAATTACTACTTCATTTTCAAAAAAGTTATTTATATAGGTTCACAAATACTAATTATCACAATATTGTAGCTGAAATACCAGAAAATTTGACAAAATCAGAGACTATAAAAACGCCACAGCAACAAAAACAACAGCGGCGTGCCCGCTGCGCCTGCAGATGAAACCACATGATTTGAAGCGTCATTATAATTGGGTAATGATGACAGCTCTGACCGGAGCGCATCAGAAGGTTCAAAAAAGTAAATGGGCATAGAGTTTTAGCCTTGTAGGTATACTGACGCATGTAAGCTGGGTTTACGAAAAATATTTTTGTTGTTATAACTAACTACAGGAACATTTTTATAGAAAAATAATAAATTTCTGCTGAAACACTGCATAAAATTTTATAGACAGTCATTCTGGTGTCACTCTAACAGTGTCACCCAGTGCGGTCCACACCCCCTGCACCCCCCTAGTGACGCCACTGTCCCTGCTCCCCCTTACCTTCTTATCTTTGCTTTAGGGTAAATGTTGACCGTTTGGTCTCGTATAGATGATTATATAAAGAAGCACAGTACTCATGGGTGATACTGTTTATTTTATGAGCCAATCTACTATTTGGCTGAAAGGTGACCTCCAGGAGTGGCTTCAGTTCCAAGTTTAAAGGGTATCTCGGGGGTTCGTCTAGTTTCTACTTGTCCGGTAAGTCTGCCTTTTTTTAGGAATTTGAGTTTTGTTCTACATTTTTCTCCATTCTATCTGGGACCATCTATTGTGTCCTTGATCAGAATAGTTGTGGTAGATGGGTTTCTTTTTAATTTTTGCTATTTTTTTGGTAAATTCCCTGTTTTACACTAGTGAGTACATACTGTTTTTAAACTGGCAAGATAATAAACTTTTTAAAAGCTTAAAGACAACATAAGATCAAAACCAAAGCAAATTTCAAGAAGTAAAAAAATCATCCTAGCCAGCTCGGCCAAGCCCTTGCATTTCTGCACAGTCCCTGCCCCTGTTCCGTGCACGAGTATCTGTTTTACTCGGCTGCCATGACAACAAACATGCCCCGCAGAAGGTAGCTTTTTCCACTCAACATTGTACAAAACACTTCCCCCCCTTTTTACCTCATCTTCAGAATAATTTTTTTTTCAGAATCAAGATTGTTTTAAAGATAAAAATTTTGAAGCCATGTGAATTGTAGCTTGTGAGCTCTACTTTGTATCTAGAAACAGAACGGAAATGATTTTCTTTTGTAACCAATTTGCAATCACTTAAGGGCTGAGTGAGAATGAGCCTGACCTTGTACAAAATCATTCTTATCCACCTTTTTTTCTCCTGAGGCAGACTGATAAAGCCTAATCAGAAGTGGGGCATGGGGGGAGGCTCTATGACCTGAAACTGTTAATGTTTAGGCTTTGAGCATCTACAAGACCTTCAGCATCTATAAGAAAATCTGTAATCAGAGTCCTCTCCTGACAAGTGTGTTCAGAGGAGGGGAGAGGGTGGCTGTGGTGACTTTGTGAACAGTTGCTGTTTGGTGCCGTCCAGTCGGTTCTGACTCATGGCTGGTCCTGCACCATCCTCAGGATCGCTGTTATGCTTGAGCCCACTGTTGCAGCCACTGTGTCAATCCATCTTGTTGAGGGTCTTCCTCTTTTTCATTGATCCTCTACCAAGCATGATGTCCTTCTCCAGGGACTGGTCTCTCTTGATAACATGTCCAAAGTACATGTTATCTAGATTGAGAACTAGACTCCATTTAAAAGGGCCCACATACTTTGAAAAACCAGGAGGAGACAAAATTAGTTGTGAATCAGATGAGCTCCTTTGTGTGAAACTCCCAGAGTAGTAGCGGAAGCTTAACAGGGCAAAGATAGGCAGAAATGACAACTGAAACTGATAAGGGAAAATCTGATAAGTGTGAGAGCAAAGTTCTGCATTTAGGTTTGAAAGCCAGGATAAATTGGGAGAGGGAGATGGAGTCCCTGGGTTGTGCTCAGCTGCTAATCAAAAGGTCGGACATTCCAGTCCACCCAGAGGTGCCTCAGAAGAAAGGTCTGGTGATCTGCTTCTGAAAAATCAGCCACTGAAAACCTGTGTAGTACAGATCTACTCTGACACACGGGGTCGCCATGAGTCAGAATCGACTTGCCGGCAATTGGTAATGGAAGAAACATCAGTGAGAGCCAACAGTGTGCCCTAAAAACACCGACCGAATCTCTGGAGAAAGTGGAGGATGGAGTGACCTGACCAAGGGTCCAGCTGCCCTCAAGGCGGTCAAAGCACATCTGCAGGGGCAGGCTCTGTCCTAGGCAGACAAGGACATATGGCAGGTGTCCAGTGGGACCATTTCTCTGAGCCCTAGGAGGAAAGGTACAGCTATGGAAAAGGTAAAGAAAACATGCACAGAGTATCCAAAAAAACCAAATCTGTTGCCTCGAGTCGATTCTGACTCACAGTGACCCTATAGGACAGAGCAGAACTGCAGCATAGGGTTTCCAAGGAGCAGCTGGTGGATTCGAACTGCTGACTTTTTGGTTAGCAGCCATAGCTCTTAACCACTGAGCCACCAGGGCTCCTGGGCAGAGTAGAGTGTGTTTGAAAAATTTAAAAAAAGATTGCCATCAAGTCGATTCCGACTCACAGAGTGTGCTAGCTGCTCTCAAATAATGCAGAGCCCACCAGCAGAAAAGGGTGGAAAAGCAGCCCAAATGCCATAGGTGTGAGTGACACTGAGACCCACCTCTGTAACCACAGGACCTTTGCTCCTGTGGGGGTTCTGCCCTGTAACAGGACGTGCTGGCTCAGAGTGGAGATGGTAAGGTAATAGAAGAAGCATCCTGATGGAGCTGGTTGGCCTCAAAGTTACCCCCACTCTCTAAGCCTCTAGAACAGAGCTTCTCAACCATCAAAGTGCTTAGGAATCACTTGGGGATCTTATTAAAATGCAGATTCAAATTCAGTAGGTCTGGGGTGGGTCCTGAGGTTCTACATTTCTAACAAGCTCCCAGAGGATGCTGATGCTGCTGGTCCAGGGACCCCACTTTGAATAACAGGGCTCTACACCACTGGCAAGTCAAAGAGACTAAGTCCTCACCCGGCGGCCTGGAGAGGCCCAGCTTCCTGAAAGGACAATCTTGGGATCAGAGTGGCCTACAAGCTACAGAGCCCCAAGGGGGGTGACAGCTGGTTTAGGAAGGAGGTGCCCTCCTGGACGTATACACCAGCTTTGGAAGTGGGATTCTTCCAATAAAGGTTTTCCTAAGGGAAAGGAAATCTGGGAAAGGTTGGAGTCAGGCTGTAGGTATTTGGGCCCCAATACAATTTAGAAACTCAGAATGGATCACAGGAACAGAAACCCACAACGTTCGGCTGCAAGCGTGTCTAGATTTAATCAGCTCTGCTCCACCCACCCCTCCACAAAAGCTCTCTGCTAGCATTCCTCTAGCGGAGAGGTGACTGCAGGCTGGGAGATTACCCCGCTGTGACTCAGACGCACAGAATCAAATCTGATCCCAGCAGCATTCCTGAGGCCCTGACCTCCCCTCTATGCAGTCCCGGCCCACCTTTCCAACTCTAACTTTTGACGCTACACGCCACACCTTGCCCTTCGCCCTTCCCCCTTCCCCGTCTTTGGCTCATCTTCAGGAGTGCCTTCTCCTCCATCCCAACTTCACCAGTTCCCAACACTCCCAAAGCAGCCAAGTTTCCCCCGTAGCCTCGGTAAACCCACACCATCTGCGTGGTCTCTCTTAAAAAGAATGTCTTGTATCACACTGTTTGTTTTTTGTTTTTTTTTTTTAAACTGCTCGTGCTTCGGGTGGCCCTCTCGGATGCAGGGTGCCCCTTTGTCTCCCCCTGCGGAGCCGAGCGCAGTGGCGGGCGCACAGTCAGGGCTCGAAACGGAGCTCGGTGGGCATCAGCCGTGCCCAGAGCGGGCGCCCAGCTCCCAGGGACTCAGCTGGGCTGGGTGAGGTCCCCCAAAGAACAAGGGTCACCGGGGCGAGGGCCCGGGACCCCGAGTTCAGGGCCGGGGCAGCCCCTCTGCGCCCTCCCGAGCCGTGGCCGGGGCTGCCTGAGGCCAGCACCTCTTCCTTCCGGAGCCGCTCCACGCGCCCGGGACACTCGCCCACCCGCCTCCAGCGCCCTCACCTTATAAACCTTGCCGAAGGCGCCGTCACCCAGCTCGCCCACGATCTCCCAAACCTCATTGGGGTCCAGATCCCGGCGGACGTGCTCATATTCGCGGGATTTTCTCTTCTCGAAGGTGGACAGGCGCAGGATGCGACGGAAATTGGCGAAAGCCATGACTAGGGGCGGGCAAGCCCTGAGGCGAAGTGGCGCTGGCTCGGGCTGTGGCTGTGGCTAGGCGGCCGCGAGGAGGGGGGTGGAGGACGCCGCGGCGCTCTTGGGTTCTCCCCAGACCAGCCCTTCCCCGCAGCCCGACCCGATCAAGTGCACCCTGAGCTGCTTCGCGGCGGGAGACCCGGAACCGTGCAGGCGGCCGTGGTCCCGCCCCTGCTCTGTCCAGTCCCTGCGCCCCCTCCCGAAGGCCTGCCCCGCTTGCTCCGCGCCCTCCGCCCAACCCGCGAGCCCCGGTATACGTTCCGGGGGCCCGGCCCCGCGCCCGCCCACCGGCCTGCGGCTCCACCTGCCGCTCCCCGGCAGCGCCCTGAGACCCCCTAATTGGCTGCGGGCGCTCTCGGACTCCGCCCATCGCCGCAGGGCAGTCTGGAGACTGTAGTCTCCTGCGCCTGGCTCCCGCGAGCGTCAGGCTGCGCTTTGGAGAGCTTTGGAGACCTATCGGAGGGACTGTCCCGGGTCTGGGAAGCCCACCGTGCCGCGCCGCGTGGCTCCTAGAACTTTTATGGGAAGCTAATTAGCATTTCGCGAGCGCCCACTGATTGCCGTCAGTGCCAAGAAGGCGAACAGGCATGAGTTCAATGAATCCGCCCCGCAACTTTCGCGCGAGGCTGCTCCGCTCGCCCCCACTTTTCAGATGAGGACGCCAAGGCCCGGCGGACGAAGGCACTTGCCCTGGGACACACATCCTTGCTGCGAATTCCGTGCGGGTTCCTTGGCGCGGTGCTGCCTCCTAGTGCGCAAAATGCAGTGCCTTTGCTCTTTAGAGACCAGACTTTCCCAGCTGGTTTGCTGCTTCCCAGGGCCCCCCCAGCCCCGGCCGAGGTCCACAAGGTACCCTCTCCTCCCCACCCTCTACAAGCCTGTCAGGATTGGGGGACTGGGAGAAAGAACTGCTTTGGGACTTATTTATTTCATGCTTTATGATGGTTTTGCAGACATATTTGCATATTAAAATTTTCTTACTATTAATTTCCCAGTTTTTAAAAATTTAAAAACTAAAGCCCTCTTTGACCACCATCATCCTCAGTCTCAGCCAGTTGACTCTCTTTGCTGCCACTGTTATCAGTTTGTGTCCTATACTAAAACCAAAAGAACTAGTTGCTATTGAGTTGATTCCAACTCATGGCAACTCCATGTGTTACAGAGTAGAACTGCGCTCCATAGGGTTTTCAAGGCCGTGACCTTTATGAAGTAGATCACTAGGCCTGTGATCTCAGGCGCCTCTGGGTGGGTACAACCGCCAACCTTTTGGTTAGTAGTCAGCACTTAACCATTTGTTTTGTAGGTGCTGTCAGGTCAGTTTAGACTTGCTGCAACCTTGTGTACAACGGAAGGAAACACTGCCCAGTCCTCTGCCATCCTCACAGTGTTACGTTTGAGCACATTGTTGGAGCCACTGTGTCAGTCTATCTTGTTGAGGGTCTTCCTCTTATTTGCTGACCCTCAACTTTACAAAGCATGATGTCCTTCTCCAGGTACTGATCCCTCCTGATAACATGTCTGAAGTACCTCAGTCATCTAGTGCTGCTATAACAGAAATACCACAAGTGGATGACTTTAACAAAGAGAAATTTATTCTCTCACAGTTTAGGAGGCTAGAAGTCTGAATTCAGGGTACCAGCTCCAGGAGAAGGCGTTCTCTCTCTGTTGGTTCTTGGGGAATGTCCTTGTCATCAATCTTCCCCTGGTCTAGGAGCTTCTCAGTGCAGGGATTTCAGGTCCAAAGGATACCTGCTCCTGGCTCTTCTTGTTTGGTGGTAATGAGGTCCCGCTGTCTCTCTGTTCGCTTCTCTTTTATATCTCAAAAGAGATTGATTTAGGACACAACCTAATCTTGTAGATTGAGTTCTGCCTCATTAACGTAACTGCCTCTAATCTTGCCTCATTAACGTCATAGAGGTGGGATTTACAACACTTAGGAAAATCACATATGATGACAAAATTATGGACAATCACACAATACTGTGACTCATGGCCTAGCAAAGTTGACACATATTTTTTGGGGACACAGTTCAGTCCCTGACAGTACAAGATAAAGTCTCCCCATTCTTACTTCTAAGAAGCATTCTGTTTGTACTTCTTCCAAGACAGACTTAATCATTCTTCTGGCAGTCCATTGTATATTCAAAATTCTTCACCAACACGGTAATTCAAAGGCATCAACTATTCTTCAGTCTTCCTTATTCATTGTCCAACTTTCACATGCATCTGAGGTGACTGAAAAAGAAAATACCATAGCTTGGATCAGGTGTACCTTAGTCCTCAAAGTGACATCTTTGCTTTTTAACACTTAAAAGAGGTCTTTTACAGCTGATTTGTCCAGTGCAATATGTCATTTGATTTCTTGACCGCTGCTTCCATGGGTATTGATTGTGGATCCAAGGAAAATGAAATCCTTGTTCTAAAATTGGATTATGGTGATAGCTTCACAGCTTAGTAAATTTACTAAAAATCTTTGAACTGTATACTTGATATGGGTGAAGTTTATGATATGTAAATTCTACCTCAGTAAAGTTGTAAAAAAACTGACAGACACGTGGTGGGAGATGCCTCTAGGTGGACTCAAACCTCCTCCCTTTCGGTTAGTAGTCAAGTATGTTAACCATTTGCACCACCCAGGGACTCCAGTAGGCATCCTAGTGGATGTGAACAGGCATCTTATTGTGGTTTTGATTTGCATTTCCCTAACGACTAATGATGACATCTTTTCATGTGCTTAGTGGCCATTTGTGTATCTTCTTTGGAGAAATGTCTTTTTAAGTCCTTGCCCTATTTTAATTGTTTTTTGTTTGTTTGTTTTTGTTGTTGATGAGTGTAGGAGTTCTTTGTATATTCTGGATGTTAATCCTTTATCAGATATATGATTTACAAATATTTTCTCCTATTCTGTGGATTGTCTTTTCACTCCACTGATAGAGTCCTTTACAACACAAAACTTTTCAATTTTGATGAAATCCAATTTACCTTTTTTTTTTGTTGTTGCTGGTGCTTTTGGTGTCATACTTAAGGAATCATTACCTAATGCAAAATCATGAAGATTTTCCCCTATGTTTCCTTCTAAAGTGTTATCATTTTAGCTCTTAAATTTAGGCCATTAGTCCATTTTGAGTTAATTTTTTTTAATTGTACTTTATTTTTTATTTTTTTTTATTGTACTTCAGGTGAAGGTTTACAGAACAAATAGTTTCTCATTAAACAGTAGTACACATATTGTTTTAGGACATTGGTTAACAATGCCACGACATGTCAACCCTCTCCC